GTACAGCTCAAAGTAAATGTTTTCCCGCAGATGGGCCGGAATGAGTCAGAGGTTTACTTCTTGTAAGAGTGATGCAACGTCATGCATGTGCATGCCTGGAGGCATGCTACCAACCTCTCTGTGCTTCAGTTTCCTCAATGACCTCATCACTGGGGTTGTCAAGAGGATTAAATCAGTTCATGCATTCTGGGGAATATAGCATAGGGCCTGGCACCTAGTATGCACTTCATGAATGCTTGCCATTATTATTTATTATTGTTATTTATTTGTACACAGAAGCTGCACACCTGTCTACTAATAGCAAAAAAAAAAAAAAAGCCACAGAAACAAATTAGGAAGCTACTGTCAGGTCCATTTCAAGCCATTTGGGACATATCACCAAGGAATCTCTTTTCTTCTCCTCCTCCTCCTCCCCCTCCCCCCCCCCAGTACATAGTTGTATATTCTAGTTGTAGATCCTTCTAGTTCTGCTATGTGGTACACCACCTCAGCATGGCTTGATGAGCGGTGCCACGTCCGCACCCAGGACCTGAACTGGCGAAACCCTGGGTCACTGAAGTGGAGCACTGTGAACTTTACCACTGTGCCACAGACCAGCCCCGCCAAGGCGTCTCTTGATGTGGAGTGGAAGGGAGCAGAGTACCTGGGAAGAGTTACAATTCCTAATACTCATTTTCTTCCCAGAGAAGGGCTCATTTTCTTTGGGCCTGACCCTTGGCTTATGACTGTGAATGGCGCCAGTGTGCTCAGTGGCTGGATGGTCACGCGGCACTTATGCATAACTCAAGCAGAGCCCAGTAGGCATTACGGAGGTGCTTAGGGGCTCCCCAAAGGCTTGGGTGAGAATGAGCCTGGGGAGATGCAGGGCTTTGTGGCTCAGCAGGTGGTGATGTGGGGACATCTGCCCTGAACCTTCACAGGGCAGCCTGGGAGAGCTTCCCGAAGCCCAGGCTGAAAATCACGAGTCCTGAAAACTTCCTGTCACTCCCCTTGCTCCACACCATGGCATTTCAGCCCCACCAGGTCTGGCTCATGACTCCTCCAACCCATTTCCCACCACACTTCTCTTCTTGGTCCCTGAGTCTCACTTCACTGCCTCCTGCTGCTGCCTCAGCCCCCACCCACCCCCATTCCTTGCAGGGGACAGCCAACTTCAGGCTCAACGCTACTTTTGTCAAATCTTCTTAACCACTGCCCTCCCCGACGCCCCTTCCTCCCATTCACCCCGGCTTGTGCTTCTCCTCCCTGTTGCTCTCACATTTGTGCCTGAGTTATAGTTCATTATTCACGAGTCCTTACAGGCACACAGGACCTTCCCCCAAACCTCCCGCAGTTTGTGACAGACCCCGGTGGACAGTCCATGAGTGTCTGAAAACTAATCTCCCGGCCGCCTGACAAGGAAGCAGCTTCTACTCAGAATGCATATAAATTAGCTAATGCTGAAACTGCAGAAATTTTCAGTGCGTATCCTGTGTCTTGAGTGATTCTTCCCTCCTCCTGCTATTCCTTCAGACATTAATTCTAGGTCTCTCTGTCGCACTCAGGCTTGAACCTTGTGGTAAAATGCTAGCGGTATACTAACTGCGGGAAGGCATATATAATTTCCCTGTCAGAGTGGTTTTAAAGTCCTCGTTCAGTGGGCATGATACACTAAAGAAAAGATAAATGGTTGTGGGCCAAAAAAATCTGTGGAGTCAACACATGCATGAGAAAGTACTGTTTTAACCTTTAATCATTTTAGCCAAGGAGCAAAATCTATTTTTATTACTTAGGAGCAGGGGTGCTAAATTGCTTACAAGGCCATGGTCTGTAGGAAAAGGAAGTCCCCACAAAAACTGTAGTCACCAGTTTGAGTCAGGAAGTACACAAGAACCTCAGTTTAGAGGGGGGACAGTTGTGGGGTGGTGGGCTGGCGATGAAGCCTGAATGCAAAGGGAGAGGCCATGTGGCCTGTGGTGGAGCTGCTGCTGCAGAGCAAGACCACGCCGGGGCCTGGCACGTGGGCTGGAAAGCAAGACCTGCCCTTCCTGGATCCCTGTGAGTGTGAGGGATTAAGGTCTATGGATAAAGAAACCCTGGGTCCTTTCCGCACCTCCTCGGTGCTTACAGGCTTGCCTCTGTGTTTCCCAGCCGTAAATGAGATTGTCTTTGGTGAGGTCTGATGATAATAACCACCCTTTATTACGTGTTTCCTATGTGCCGGCACTATGCTAAACACTTTATAGGGAGTATATTCTTTAATCCTCCCAACATCCCTTTGCAGTAGGTGCTACAGCTCACTTTATAGATGAGGAAATTGGGGTCTGAGAGAGGTTAAATCGTTTGCCGAAGACCGACAGCCAGTCTGCGGTAGAATTGGGATCTGAACCCAGAGACTGTCTGCCTACAGAGCCTGTCCTTCCCTTAACCACCACGCTTTTAAATAGCATTTTGTTTAATGAAAATTGATAGTGTAATGTTCAGAAGGTTAGAGTGAAAAAAAAAAACCTCTCTGATTCACTAGGGGACTGGGGAAATGCCCTTGATCTTGGTTTTCAGTCTATAAAAGAATGATCATGCCATTCTTCACCCACCCACCCTACGAGTGTATTTTCAGGATTAATGAGTTGGTCTTCAGGGCTCTTGAGAACCTTAGATGATTGAAGATGCTTATTTAAATAATGAACAAATGAGCGTCTACATCCAAACTGGGGACAGCTTTCCACCAATAGGTGATTTTGGATTTTAAAGCAAACTTAGCATGCATTCTATCTAAGTCAGAAACCAAGAGTTCTTTGTGGAATACCACGAAGGCATTTCTGAGGGACTTCATCTGACTGAGAATATCCCCTCTGGGGCAAGCAGGGTGCTCTGTGCGGAGAAGCAGGCACCCCAACCTTTTTTTTTTTAAGAACCAAACGTTCCTCTCCAGTTGGCTGGGTGAGGAGGCACTTTGGTGAGTGAGTCAGTTCATTCTACCTCCTTATTCCCGGACTTGTTACTCCTGTGTCACTTACTCTGATTAAGACCCACATTGCTGGGGGCTGGATTACTACAGTAAACTCCAAATTGGTTTCCTTACAATGTTTTTGAATGGGTGTCTGAGAGGATTAATTTGTATATCATGAGATAAAAAGTTTTCATTCTTTATCCAAGCCAAAATGAATGACAAAAACCCACTCAGGTAGAATTCAGTGTATTTTCCCAAGAACATTATAAATTCTTTGTTGTAAACTGCAGTGCAAGTAGTATTTTTAAAGATTTCAAAGGAAATATGAGAAATAGATGGTTTGAAATTATCATATAATCATAAGGGGAAGGGATTTTGGAATAACCCATTATTGTCTTCTCATTTGAACATAAACACACACAACACACACACACACACTTGTGCTCATTTACTTAGTAATCTCATTTTTGGAAATTTATCCTTAAGAAATTGTCCAAAATCAGGAAATTAAGATATTTGTTGCAGTTATTTATAATAGCAAAATATTTGATAGTCTAATATGCCCTAGGTACACACACAGAGTTACACATCTGATAGAATATGTATTTTTTTTAATTAATTTTTTTTGGTGAAGAAGATTGGCCCTGAGCTAACATCTGTTGCCAATCTTCCTCCTTTTTTTCCCCCCTCCCCAAACCCCAATACATAGTTGTATCTCCTAGCTGTATGTCATTCTAGTTCTTCTATGTGGGATGCTGCCACAACATGGCTTGATGAGCAATGTATACGTCCACACCCAGGATCGGAACTGGCAAACCCCAGGGTGCCAAAGTGGAGCACACAAACTTAATCACTTGGTCACAGGGCTGGCCTCAGAATAGGTATTTATTAAAAATTAAAATTTGTAAAAGCCATGGAGCAACATGAAAATGTTATTAGGGGCTGGCCCCATGGCCGAGTGCTTGGATTCGCACGCTCTGCTTCGGCAGCCCTGGGTTTCACGAGTTCGGATCCTGGGAGCCACCTAGCGCCACTCATCTGGCCGTGCTGGGGCGGCATCCTGCATAGCACAGCTGAGGGACCTGCAGCTGGAATGTGCAGCTATGTGCTGGGGTTCTTTGAGGAGAAGAAGAAAAAGAAATATATATGAAAGGAAAAATATGAGATGTACAATAATGACACTGTCCCATTTAAATTACATATTTTCTCATTTCTAGAATTTCTACTTGGTTTGTTTTCTACTCTGCCTCTTCATTTTTCACACCAAGCTGTTCGTTCCTTATGGTCACTGTTCCTTCCATTATCTTCTTAGCATCTTAAGCATAGTCCCTTGAATACTTTATTTCAAGTGGTTCTCAGGGTAGATTCTCTTGCTTGTTGTGCTGTTCATTTCCTTGGGTCATCTGCAGATTTTCCCTGTGAACGTTTCTTCTTCTTCAAGGCTTGTTGTCTGTGGGGCTCCCCCTTTCCCTGACCTGGGGGTATGTGGTTTGGATTTGCCTCCTCCGACCATAAGAGTCCCAGGCAGATGGTGCATTTCTTTACCACTTGCCTGGGATGGTTGGTTGAGTTTGAACTGAGCATAAATCCCGAATGTGTGCAGGCAGCTCGATTCCCTAGCGAGGGCCTGAGCATTGTCTCTTACGCATGAGGGGTTAAGTCGCCAGCCCCCAACCCCTGCAGCCTTTCTGATTCCATGCTCACTGAGACTTTGGGTTCAGCTCTCACCAACCTCTAGGGCCTGCTTTTTTTCTAGCGCTACACGTCTTTTCCTGCCCTCAAACTCCGCTGTGCATTAAAACATAATTTATGTTCTACTCCTCATTGCCATATGTTTGCGGTGGCAAGTGGAATCCACCGTATTGACAGAAGTACTTATTTATCTTTTCCATTTACTGCAACTATATGAAAATATATGTGCATATAATCAGAGATGGAAGGGACTTTGAAATGATTTGTTAGGAGTGTATAGTAACTATTTTTATTTTGTAAATATTCTGTCTTGTCATATTGTCTTTAAAACAATAACTATAAGAATCATCATCCTTTTAACTATTGTCTTTTGTTTCAGAATGCATACACTACAACTGCCATTAATGCCACAGATTTTTGCGCATCAGCAAAAGATGCACTCAAACTCTTGTCCAAGAATTCAAGTCATTTTACATCTGTTAACCGCTTTGGAGACTTCATAATCTTTCTAGGAAAGGTGAGATGTCTTCATTAAAATAATAAGTAAAGGAACGTCAGATCCAAAAATTAAGCCATACAACAAGGCTTTGAAAGGGAGCTAATGTTTCCTGAGTGCTTCCTCTATGGTAGATGCTGCGCTTCATTATCTCACTTGATCCTCAATCCGGTGAGGTGTCTGTTTTTTGCAGGTGAGGAAACCAGAAGATGAGGAACCAGATGAGGTTCCATAACTTGTCCAGGATCCCACAATAGGTGGAACCAGGATTTGAATCCTAGTCCTCCTCTCTTAGCTATGATCAATTTTCTCTACTATTCCGAGTCCCACTTTTTCATATCTAAAATGAAAATGCTACTAGCTTCAGAAAATGGCTCTGTTTGGGGGTGGTTGTCATAAAATACATGGAAATAGTATTGAAATCTGATAAAATGTCTACATTATTTAAGGACATTAAGTCCATAGATATAAAGACAGAATTGTTAATGTCCCAAATGGAACCAAAGTTACATTTCTGCTCAGAATCATTTTTTTCAAGGAATCGTGTATAATCGTGTGGAACGAGAGAGCATCTTGGAGCTCCAACATCTCATGGTATAAATGACAACTCCTGAATTTGAGATCTTTAACAACTCCAAACGTCAGTCTTCACACCTATAAACTAAAGGCGACACATGCCCTTTCCAGGCTGATACTGATGAAAGTGGTGTTCCAGCCCCTACTTGACCATGCTTCAAGTTGAAAGTTCTTTATACTTTGCCAGTGTCTTTCTTTCCATGTGATTGTCACCCACTCGGCCTAATTCTGCACACCTCAGTTTGTCTGATTCCACGTCCACTTGACTGCCTTCACATTGCTGACCACAGACATCCTGACCTTCCCGCCACATCTTCACTATTCCAAGCTAGACATCCTCACTTCTTCCAACTATTCCTCCACATACCCATGAATGCCGGGGCCTTCAGTGGTGCCCCAAAGTGAACAAGATCTGTTTCCAGCTGTGACATGACCAATTCCAAACAGGGAGACTCTTGGCTCCTCATTTAGCATTTTCTGCTTCTCTGGCACTTGGTATGTCTCCGGTGCATTACTATCATAGTTAACTCTCAGTAACAAGTTATAACATGCTTGGATGTCACAGGTGTGTGTTAATTGCAGATATATTTTAAGGCTCAGCTGGGCCCTGGAGACTTTTCATGTGACAGTTGCTTTAGAAACACAAACTGATTATGCCTTTCAAAACAGCCTAAATAATCTAAGTTGTAGTTGTATTTAAATGGATAATATTGTCTACGTTAGCTTGGTAGAATTGTAGATGATGTATTTTCCAATAACTACTTCCAAAAATTTCTGGAACGAGCTTTCATCCTTATAACAGATTTATCTTTTATTTCATTTTATACAATAATCCATTTTCCTGTATTTCTCATAAGGAATATATAATTGCTAACGAGCTTCTAATGAGCATGAGATAATCAGTGATTCTTTGGTTTTTTGAATGAAGTAGCATTCGGACATTCATGTCCATCTTTGTGGATATCCAAGGGCAATGGGGACTCCAGATAGGCTCCACTTTGTCTGTTAAAGAATTAGGTACATCATGGCCTGTAATCATGTTCCTGGAAATATAGTAATTACATATAGCCAAAGCCTGAAGTAATGTTATCATCTCCCCACACTAGCCTTGGAAAGCCCTTCTGCTTTAATCCCCAGGGTAACAATAATCACATATTAAACTACAATATATCCACTCAATGGATTGTAGTACTGTTATTAAAATTGGCGATTATGTGGCATAATGGATAAGTTTGGCACACTCCACTTCAGTAGCCCAGGTTTGTGGGTTTGGATCCTGGGCACAGACCTACCACTGGCAGCCACGCTGTGGTGGCAACCCACATATAAAAGTGGAGGAAGATTGGCACAGATGTCAGCTCAGGGCTAATCTTCCTCAAGAGAAAAAAAAAAGAGGAAGATTGGCAACAGATGTTAGCACAGGGCTAAACTTCCTCAGGCAAAAACAAACGGTGTTTATAAAAAAAGTTTTTGAATGAAGATGCTTATTTGTGGTGTTAAGTGAAGAAAACAAAAATTTTGTGAGGTATCATCACATCTACATAAATACGAAAACTAGACACAGATAAAATGGAAGTACATATCCTCTTCCCACTCTCCATATTAACTGGGTTTTCTTTTGGTATCATAGCTTCTCATTTGTGTTTCTTCCTATTTCATTGTACCAAATTTTCTGACAAGCATTTATCATAGAGTATGAACACACACACACATGCATGTATTTGAAGCTATTACTTGTAACTGACAAAAATCTTCCCCAAAATATTCCAACCGACCACTTTATAAAGATTTTCAACAAACTCTTGTTTTGACAGGTGTTAGTGGTGTGTTTCACTGTTTTTGGAGGACTGATGGCGTTTAACTACAACCGTGCACTCCAGGTGTGGGCAATCCCTCTGCTATTGGTTGCTTTTTTGGCCTACTTAGTAGCCCATAGTTTTTTATCTGTATTTGAAACTGTGCTGGATGCACTTTTCCTGTGTTTTACTGTTGATCTGGAAACAAATGATGGATCATCAGAAAAGCCCTACTTTATGGACCAGGAGTTTTTGGTAAGCAAACATTTCATTTCCTGTTGCAATCTCCATCCTCACAATCTCAAAGGTGTGGAAGACACACATAAAGGAGGCTCGTCCTCAGCCTCATTTTCTCTTCCTGGGGGTGCTCCGTGAGCTTCCACACATGGCCTGAAGGTTCTGAGGGTAAGATTTGGACTCTGTTTTCCAAGGCTGGACTCACCTCCCTTATTGAAACCTTCTCCCTGGAGAGGAATGAAGCTCAGTTAACACTAACCAAATGATCCTGGGTAGAGGGTGTTGTGGACACAGCGGCCATCAAGTCCCTTTTGTGCTAATGGCTTGGTCTGGCCTTCTGAACGGTCTGCAGGTTTAACAGTTGATGTTTCTCTAAAGCACTTTTGCATCCCCAAGTGCCATGTTCTACCAGTTGTATTTTAGGGAGCACACACTCCAGTATAGACTGGTCACCTTCTGTGCCAGTACTCTCGGATGTGCAGTTCTCAGGCCCTTTATTAACCGAGGCACACCAACGTGAGGAAAGCCACACCCTCAGTGCAGCCCCATCCTGCTTCTATCTGGAAATAGCAGGCAGCTGTTTCCAACAGCTTTTGCAACACATTTGTTGCCTGTTTGCCTTATCCTGTGTAGACAGGGATATTTTAACAGCTGAATGAAGTCTCATCTTTTTCCGTTGTCTGGGTCAAGTGACATTTTAACAATTTTCTTTCATTCCGTTGCCATAAAACTTAGGTGTTAAAGCCCTTTTGCTTTTAAACAGAGCATTCAAAGCACTGCTCAGTTCAGCCAGGCACTGCAGTTTCACAAGCACTTCTGTAGTTTTATCATAAAGGTATCCTCATCCTTCTATGAAACATACAACAGCACTGTAACGCATCCGTATGTCCTCTAAAGACAGTATTTCTGATGGTGGTAGGAAGCCAAGCAGGTCTTCTTTCCCTGATTTATACTTTTTCAATTAAAAATCCACTCTGAAATCTACCCCCCAAAATATTTTAATTCAACAGGGAAAACTTTTTTAAGGATTAAATTCCCCGAAATGATACGGCCAAGTTAAATGACTGCCAGTAGTGCAGATACGTAACACCGGTCTAACTCATTCTTCTGTTTTTCAGAGTTTTGTAACAAGGATCAACAAATTAAACGACCCAAGGGCACAGAAAGACAAGAACTCCTTAAGGAAGGAGGAGGGAACCGAACTCCGGCCCATTGTCCGGCCCACTGTGAGATAAACATTAGGTATTGGTACCTGGAAAAAGTCTCTTTCTTCTAAGAGCCACTCACAAAATAAAGGATAAGGCCCGATGGGCCCTAGTCTTCATTGTTTTTGACCTATTGTTCAACCATGTTACAATACGAGAACCATAAAAGTTTACAACCTTTTTTGTACTAGCTGGGAGAGAAAACCTTTTAAGACAGTGTTTATATGCATCAATTTAAAGAGCACACCAGGTAAAAACTGCTTTCAGGGCACCAGTGAAAAGGACACTCCTCACTCACAACCAGTAAGTAGACCTTAGCAGAAATCTCTAGAATATTGCCCAGCTTGCAGAGCAGAACTTTTCCCCACATATCCACTCTTGGAAATGTGCTCAATATGCTATTATAACTTTTCAAGTACAGTTCTTAGATCTAGTGACAATAAAACCAAAAGTTTAGCTGGAACTACCGCCTGATAGGCATGGTATAAGAGGCAGAAGTTTAACCAGATACGACTTAAGTTTGGTTAAAAGTACAAGGCTACCTCTCACAAATCGGCAAACGTTCTGGAGAAGTGGTTTTCAACCACAGCCCCACCTGAGAATCCTGGAGGAAGATTGACAATAGTTATGCCTGGACCCCATCCCCAGAGATTCAGATTCGATGGTGGGTAGGGGCTGTGCTGGGCACTTTTCATTTTTAAAGCTTTAAACAAAGGGGAACATGTAGCATTGATTGGCAGGCTCATTTCAATTGGATGAGCGAGTAAACAGAATTACCCCCTCTCCTAACAGGAGTGCCAATCTGGCTTATTTGGCAGGACAAGCAGTGCAAGAGAAGGCTTCCCTGAGCCCCCTCTCCACAGATGGCAAGAAACAGCATGTCTGCTCAGAACAACTTCAGCAAATGCAAATTGCGACCTTTTCCTTAAACAGCACCATTGAATCAGTGGCGCTCCTGACAGTCTCCTTGAGGAAAAGGATTTACAGAGCAGTTTCTGGGGAGCATTAAATGGTCATTGTGGCATGAGGAGCAGGTAGCCTGCGCTCTTGTGGGTGCATCAAACCCCATGTCTGTCCTCATTATCAGCCTCAGCAAAAACCAAGAAGCCACATTCCACCAAAGCCTCACAGAGCCAATACTATCAGCGGAAATCACTTGGCTGAGAAAATGTCAGAAAGTTTGTCACCAATTTTCTTTCAGTGATTGGAATTTTTGGTCGTTTGACCTTCTCTATGTCATGACTGAAGGTTAGGTTTTGCTAACACTTCATACTATAAATCCTAGTTTACTGTCAAACAGCATAGTCTCCTCCTGATCCAGTATGTTTCTCAGTAATATTTATTCACCCTAGAAGATGAATAGAAAATCCCTCCAACCTGTCCCACCAAGGTTCCTGAAGACTTTAGGATTATTCCACGTCGGGTTTAGGATGACTCTGGGGCAGCTCAGTCACAATGGAATAAGCAAGGATCAAATACTGATTTGAACCCTGCTGTCATTTACGACATGCAACGGGCAGGTCCCTTCGTTTTCCTAAGCCTCAGTCTCAAGCACAGAGTGCAGTTACGGGAGTTCAGTAATGTTAAAATACCTTAGAGCAGTACCTGGAAAGAGTACTTAAAAAAAAATCTGACTCTACCTAGCTGGAAGTTAGCCAGAAAATAATCAGCCTGTGGCTCATATAAATGTTCAAAAAAAATATTTATTTATAAAAAATACAATGGGATAAGTTTATGCTGAGAAATGCAGCAATAAATACAGTTGAAGAAAACAGAGCAACTCTACATTGATACATTGGCACAAACAGGAAGAGCAGAGGCACCCCCAGACCTAAATGTCTGCAGGCCGACTGTACATGCTCCTTCAGAAACACCACTCAGAAAAGATCTGTCAGCTTGGGTAAGAGAATGAGTACACATATAATCACAAATGCACACTGATCATGACTTTATTTAAAAATTAGCAAACAATACTGTAGAAACATTGATATGTAAATTTCTAAAATGCTGCATCTTAAATTTAATTGGCAAAGACCACATTTAGCTATAAGCATGAGTTTAGTCTTCCATGTAGAAACGAGATACTAAACTGTAACAAAAAAAAATAGGTTCCTATTGTTTGAAAATACCAGTTTAAGTAGAAGATTGTAAAAATGCATAGATCTTTCATAAAAGAATTGACTGTACAAGAGTACTCCCCTTTCACAGTATTCCTTTTTACTTCATATGAAAGTTATCGTTTATGCTGTAGGATTTAACTGTTACAGCACTAAAAGGCAACTATTTAGGGAAGAGGCAGAAAAGGAAAAAGGAATGTATGTAAGGCAATATTTCTTTTAGGTACAATAAGCATAATAGTGTTTTAGGAAGACAAGATAAAAATTACTCAAGGCTAGCTTGGTTCTCACTGAATAAAAACAATGGCTAAATACTGAGCTGCTCTGTGTGAATCTAATAATCAATGCCTTGGTCGCCATATTGGTAATCTCTGGGGTAGTCATCTTGGTACTCGCCATGATATTCATCTGGGTATTCTGCCTGATAATCACTATCACTGATTTCCGACCCATTTGTTCCTGTTCCTTGGCTTCCATTGTGAATGACAGGTTCTGTTGGAGCAGCACAGTATTTGGGATCATATACTTGCCGCCCCAGCCCATACACACTCATTCCTTTCTGGGAAGCGACTTTGTTGGTACCCATCTGTAGAGAAATTGTCGAGTTGTCCACTGGCTGTAATGTTAGCTTCTGATCGTAGATGTCTCTCCTGGTACCCGGTGCTAACATCCCCGCCTAGTATGAAAACAGAGTAGAAACGTTACAACAGCAACTAAAATCCGTTCTTGTGCCTATTCGATGAATTATGAAGTTCACATTGAATGTGAACACTAATATAATAACTTTAATTTGGTTAGGTAAAGCTAGCCTACCAAAATATCGCAATGCCGAATCTCTCTTATGAAGCAATATTCATTGGCTTTCAAGCTAGGTCAGCCCTTCCTTATAGCTCTCTATGAAACTGCTATATGGCCTCAAACAAGTTAACTTGCTTTCAGTTTTAGGTTTCTCATATGCAAAATGGAGACAATGCCACCTGCTTTGGATTTAGGAGAGGATTAGACATAAAGAATGAACAAACGAAGAAGAATGCTGGCACACCTGAAAGTTCCATTTCAATGCCTACTATGACTATGTACACTATCCAGGTTACCAATTTCAAAAGCTTAGAATACATTCAACAAAAATTCTGCTGCGGGGCCGGCCCCATGGCCCAGTGGTTAAGTTCGAGCGCTCCACTTCGGTGGCCCAGGGTTTTGCTGGTTCGGATCCTGGGCGCAGATATGGCACTGCTCACCAGGCCATGCTGAGGCGGCATCCCTCATGCCGCAACGAGAAGGACCCACAACTAAAAATACACAACTATGTACCGGGGGCTTTGGGGAGAAAAAGGAAAAATAAAATCTTTAAAAAAATTCTGCTGAGCAGTCCTTAAGGGCTCGAGTCTTTCAAAAGGCTCTAAGACACTGAAGAGCCAGCCATTTCAGAGCAACCGCGCCCCTCCTGTTCAGAGTACAGTGACTCAAGCCTCATTTCTCCGTTTGTGCCGAGCACACACTCCCAGATTTAATCAGTAAAAAAAAAAAAGCAAACTTGAGCGGCAGCAATGAGAGAGACAATGCCCCCTGTGGCAAGATGTGTTCCATAAAGGGCAAACGACAGCAAATCTCATCTTGGGTCATGAAGAAAAAGCTTTTTCAAACCTTATCCCCATTCTTGTTGGATGTGAGACCTGTCTGCTCTCAAATGGTTCTAGGAAGCTCCTGAGGTGCTGGTGATCTATTTTCAACGGGAGATACTTCCATCTGTGTGGTATTAGAATGCCGGCGTTCTCACCGTGCTCCATTTCCATCTACTCAGTCACACATTTAACAGGAATGCTAGCTAAACAGTTCTTAGCGGAACACCAGATAATTTTACCATCAAGTTAACTACAGGCACCTTTAAAAATAAAAGTCAGAAGCATTAGAATGAGCAATTTACTTGGATTTGGAGCAAGAACACTGTAATAAACATATCTTTTTTCTTCTGGTTAGGTAGAAAGGCCAGCTGTTCTAACTGCCAACAAAAGCTATGAGCCACATCATGCTTGTATTGCTACAGAAAAGGTCCTTTGATTCTTTTGCTTTCTCAGCAAAAGCTACTTTCCTGAAGGAATATACTCTAAACATACCATACAAAAAATACCTACTTGAATTAATAAGACTAAGGTAAGTGCTAATTTAAATAGCCCTTTTCGTACTCTTTGCTACAAGTAGAAAAAGGTATTGCTTACCTGGCTGGCTCCTTTGTTGGTGCCCATCTGCAGACTAATCGTGGTCTGGTCAAAAGGTTTGTCAGTTTGCATTTTGGGATCATAAAGATGCCTCCTAGTCCCATAGGCTGTCATACCTGCTTGGCTGGCGCATTTGTTGGTTCCCATCTTTTAAGTTAAAAATAAAATTAGTGCCAATTATCAGAAGTCAACAACATACATGAAGCAAACAAAACTTCTCTTCTACTAAAAAGATGGGAGGGGCACAACTGACTAGTCCCTTCCTGCGCTGAGGCTGCAGTCAACTAGGCACAAAATCTCTCTGCTTCTACAAAGGACTTTCAAGCTGCTCACTCTAAAAAGAAAAATTTCCAAAAAATTCCCAAACCCTCACAACATAATCAACCATATAGAAACATGCACACAGGAAGAGATGAATAGACACACAAAAAGTTATTGCAGTGGCAAAATTATGAATAATTAATTTCCTCTGCTACTCTCTGTAGCACAGATAAGCAAATTAAGGGGTACCTGCTTCAGCCATTTAAAGGGACAGAGCAATCTCTGGCTAGACAACATGCTTTTCTACTCCACACATGTTCTGTATAAAATGTGAGAGCAAGTGCAGGTGTCTTCTCTGGCAGCTTAGCAAGGGCCTCTTCAAATTTCATCAAAATCACCATTTTCATGGGAAAAGAAACACGTTTTATTCCTCCAACTCTCATGTCACAGGACAGAGTCGGAGAGGCAGAATGAAGAATCTGAACTCAACCAAGTTCAGACAAACAATAACTTCTCTTCCCCACTGAGAATAATATGGCTTCAGGACCAACCAGTACACCCTGCTCTACTGGTTGGGGACACATTTCTACTGTTGGTCTTTTTTCCTTAAAAACAAGATTTATTAAAGGAAAACTTTATTACTAAAAGTAAAACCTGTTCAATGGAGAAGACAGAAAAAACAGATATAAGCAAAAAGGGGGGAATAATTATAATCCTTTCAGACATTCACTGTAAACACGTGTATATCCTTCTAGCTTTTTTACCTTATGTGTCTGTGTATATATCTATAGAGACACATGCATATAAATATACATACAAAAACATGCATGTGCAATTTTAAAATAAAAATTGGCATCACGCTGACCATAGTATTCTATAACCTGATTTGTTTTCCTTAATCTTTGAACTCGTCTATCAATTTTACATGATTAGTTCCTTTTATGGAGTTACCATAATATAAACGACCGATTACTGTTCAGGAATTCAGGTTTCCAGCTTCTTGCCATTGACACAATTTTGTACTGTATAAAAATACATGTATATGTCAATTATACCTCAGTAAAGCTGAAATAAATAAATAAATCCACTCACGCAGACCCGGTTGTGACGGGGCACTGTTACCACGTAGCTGTGGGACAGTGAAGCCGACAGCACACTGGGCATTTAGCAGTGGTGTTTCTGTGACACTCTCCAGGGGAATGATATGAAGGGAAAAAAATACCTGAACTAAGTATTCCCCTGGACTGACAGATTCTAACAGTGCCTGGCTGCTGTATCATGATTTACTAATGTAAATAAATGACTCTGGCACTGAGGTTTTGTAAAATTGCTTCATTTGGTCATTAACATTTAGGAATTTATAGTGTTTTCTTAAAAAATAAGACAATGTAATTAGGGAAAAAAAGCATTTCCTGGAGAAACAACTGTCAAGTCAGATGGCATGTCTGAGGTTTCTTCTAAAACCAACATCGTCTCATGGGCTTTAAATGGACATCAACTGTATAAACCACATCTCCATCCCCAAACCTACATTATGGTCTATCTGCCTAGTCCTCACTTAGGAGAGACACTTTGTATGGTGAGAAATTAATGACAGTGAATAAGTAACTGATTAAGCAATACCACGTTAGTTACCTGCAAACCAATTACACTCTGGCCAGCCTTTAATTTTCCTTCATCAAAACGTCTTGTTTGTTTTTCTGCATACTTAACTCCAACGTCAATGGTTGTATGGAATCCTTTTGTTTTAGCCTAGACAGAAATATGTACACTCAGTGAAAAGGAACACTTAAATGGAGATTTTTGCCAACAGAGTTTTACAGAAGGAATAACAAAGAAATGATGCTGTCAATAGATGAAGGGTTTCACTTGGTAAGACCCAAATTAGGGGTGAAAAATATACTTAAGGTCACACTGTACCTCAGAAGTGTGAATATTCTATTTAAGCTTCCAATACAAGGCAGTTGATGGCAGCAGCCTTTCCACAAACCTAATAATTATGGAAGAGACCGGCTCCTCCCTGCCTAGTCTGAACTCCGAGAGGAAAACAAACACAACTCAGCACCAACAGAGTGGAGGTTTTTTAACCAGACATTAAAGACATTTACGTACCAGACCTGCTAGAGCCACCAGCGTAGTCTGAACCTGGGTCATGTTTCCATTCTCAAAAAGATCATTTGCT